CTGGTTCGAATCCCGTTGAAGCCCTGATTTTTTTTCAGGCTTCTTCTTTCCAGTTGCTTAAATTGGAAAATTTACTGCGATAATCATACTTCACTTTCATCTACTACCGCAGTTCAAATATGAATTATTTCATATATACTTCACAACAACTCTTATATCACTTACTATCACTACGTTTCATTCAAGCGATATTTGATTAATATCCCTATCAGTTGCTTAGTTACTGTAATTTCTAAGACCTAAAGCCATTTGCCACTGGTAAACAAGTTCTGCGTAACCCGTCTCTCTTCCTCATTGAAATTCTCTTACCCAACCCTGTAGAGAATGAGGTGGGGAGACCTGAAATGCACATTTCGCATTTAGGGACCAGTAATGCTGTATTGGGCTATGTAATTAAATGTTTGGAAGAATGGGTGGAAGAATTTCGACAAAGTTTGTCCCACAAAACGCGACAATGCCGATTGGCATTACGGGTAGTGACCGTTTATCGATGCTTGATTGAGATTCGCGGTGTTTCAGCAAGAAGGAAGGAGAAAAAGAATGGATACACATGCTTGTGCTGTTTCCTTCTATTACGCTGAAACGGCTTGACACCTTTTTACACTGTCGCGTACGCGTTTACACTTTGGAAAGATAACGTTTGTCGAATCAGTTGTAAATTGCCCTTGCTCTATCGTCAAACTTATCCTCTGTCGATTGTAGGCGTTTCTGTGCCATCTGGTACGACCTCTCCCAGCAAGACCACCATCACAACAAGCATTGAAAGGACATCCACCAGCGAGAACTTCAAAGTTCCTCCTCCAGTAGCGAAGAAACCTCAAACAGAAGAACCAAGGTACAGCACACCCACAAAGAAGGTGATCACAGAGGAATTCAGGTATCAAACAACGCCGCCCTCTCAAAAGACAGTCATAGAGGAGGTGCGTTACTCCACTACTCCTACTAAGAGAACAGTGATTGAAGAGGAGTATAGGTAAGGGTCAGCGTTTGTTTACGAATGTAATAGGAACTTGCAGTGGCATTTCCACGAAGTTCATCCACCGTTTCCAGATCGAATGTCATGACACTGTGATCCTAATATGATGAACATGTTGGTGGCAAACTGTTTGCTTGTTTTATCAGTGGTGGGAAGGGTTGGGCAAGGGACTGTCTCTTTTGGACGAGTCTTTCACACATCACCATTCTCACTGTGTGGCGAATTCTTGATGGATGAAAATTTGGTTCACATTGAAACCTCTTAGTGCACGTAATAGGCCATTTCCGAGTTACTTTGTTCCACTGTTTCAAAACGAGTCCTCCTGCAAAAATGATTTCGATTTACACGGTTTTGTTTTGACGCGGAGGCAAAAGGCGTCTCCGAGATGGCCTATTTAACTATTTGAGTACTACTGGCACTATAATTCGAAGCTACTTTCCAGCTACAACCTTTTCTTTGCATATTTTCCCAGATACACCACCCCAAGAAAGGAGGTAGCTCCTACACCTCCCCAGAGAAAAACCATTGAAGAGAGAATGGTCACAAGAGAGATGACCCCTCCTGTGCAAGCAGCCCCACCCTCTGAGCCACTAGAACCAAAACAGCGCATCACACAAGAAGAACTGGCCATTGAAGAGGTACGGAAACAGGGGGGAACCCCCGCTGGGGCTTACTTTAGACCAACCCCCAAGAATGAGTATCGATATGAGGAAGAAATGTTGCCTCCACCAGACGAATATCATTTTGAGGAGAAGAGAACAGAGATGGTAACTGTGCCTCCAGAGGCAATGGACAGCAGAAAAAGTGAGTATGCTGTGATGTGATGAAAGGAAGCATTGTAGCTTGTAGTGTTGCTAGGGATTACCTGAGTGTGGAGACTGTGTGTCACAGAATGGAAAACGGAATAGCGTGTAACACACGATTGAGGCAACTGCTCAGTTAAGTTTTTCACAGAGTGGATTTTTGCTTGTTTTGTACTGAACCTTATTACATGGCTGTGCCTCACAAGGACTGGGAACTACCAAATTCACGAATTTGATTGGCTGAAATTGATATTGAAAGCGGTCTAGATTTTCCCATCTAGACCGGCATCTAGACCAGTAATGTTTTGTGGTGAAAAAGTTGCAAACTAAAATGTAAAAATATTGACTATTTTCTTCTAACAATATTTATTTATGGCTGTGCCAAAAAGCCTGATGAGAAAAAAGTAGTGAGGACGAGCAAGCTTTGGCAGAATTAAGTTCAGCTCATCGCTGTTCGCAAGCAAAATGCCATCTAGTACAAACCAGTTACATTAAACAAATTAAATTGTTCTTGTTTGCCATACGATAAACATCTTATTAACCGAGCTTAGTCGGTCTGTATGGGAGAATCTTGACCTCAGTCGTGTGTACAGACCTCGGTCAAGATTGTCTCATACAGACCTCCTGCTCGGTGAATAAGAGCTAAATCCAGCCCCTTCTCGATTTGTCAGTTACAGTAGTTGAAGTAATTTAGACATTGTTTCATCAAATTTCAAACATCAAGAAAAAAGTTGAAAATGCCACCCCAAGCGGAGAAGTTCTTACAAAATTCGAGGTGTTTGGAAATGCGATGAAACACTGTCTTGAGTGTTTGATACATCTTCTCAACGGAAGTGGTGTTAATTAAATCACCGCCACGCCTATGATTTTCTTTGCTTTAACCTGACGAATTGTCAATGTGTGGTCTTGGTTCTCAGTGCTAACTTGACTGTGCTTTGTTACAGTTGTTGCGTACCAGTTGTGTCTAAAAATGGGAGATGTACTCGGAGATGGAACAGAAGGAAATGTGTTCATACAGCTGTTTGGTGATAAAGGTATGACCGAACAGATAAAACTACGGCAAGCTGGAAATTCAGGGATACGCTTTGAGAAAGGAAGAACCTACAAGTTCACTGTTGAAACTATTGACATTGGAAAGGTCAGTTTTGTGTGACATCATGTGGTTGCATGCACGTATTGATGGTCAACATTAGTGTAATTTACTTTAATGACAGGACGACGTCTATTAGCAGATGTCTTTATGTTGTACTTAGAATTCCGCCGTTATCTGGATCTATTCAATAATGTCCCTACTGAATATGCTGCGAATGCATTTAGTTCCAAATAGAAGATGAAAAATTAGCCGTAGTGGTTCATGTTCTTTTAAAAAAATTGATCATTTCACGTCTATTAGCAGATGTCTTTATATTGTACTTCAGAATTCCGCCATTATCTGGATCTATTCAAAAATGTCCCTACTGAATATGCTGCGAATGCGTTTAGTTCCAAATAGCAGGATCCGAAATTAAGTTTTTTAGGCAGGTGCCAACTGGCGACTGAAATTTTTTTTCAGTCGCCATAGGGAAATATTTGGTCGCCAAAAAGTGTCAATAAAATTTTTCCTTCGCAGCGAAACACAAACCAAAATTTTTGGTAGCCAGATGGAAAATTCTGGTCGCCAATTTTTCTTTTAAGAATCAGAACGAAGAGAACGCGTTTGGGGCCTCAATGTCGATTTTTCCGCTAACGAATAAGATTAAATACAAACACGCTGATGATTTATAGACCTACCACTGAAAAGCCACGACTAACGAATCGAATGCTGGCCATGTACGCAGTTTCGTGTGACTGCCAAATGTTTCAAGTCAACTTTATACCTTTTCTTGTCTCTACCGTTTGGAGAAGAAATGTACCCGACTGAAAAACTGGCTTTTGGTTCTTTGCTCTGTGTTCAAAACGATCTTTCCTTTCGCGTTCTGTCAAGACCACCCATGAAAATTCGTCTTTCCATTTGGGGTAGAAACTTGCGTTTAGCTGACGACTTTTTGATTGGATGGTTTCCTTCCCCGTCCATATCGGCACATTTTCCCGTTATTGTTGGCAAAATATTTGCAATGGATGACATACATCAGGAATCAAACCAGTGCTGAAATCATCTTTTGACCACTTTGACAGACGCCCAGAGAATATCTAAATTTTCAACTAATCTCTCCGCGCATGTTCCGTCTCAACTTTGTAATAAATTACGGAAGATTTCAGAACATCTTTGGACACCACATCGCCTGGATGAATATTCATGACCAAAGAACGCACGGCCTCTTGCGCCCGCAATACGTATGTTACGGGAAACCGCTAAAGAAACATGACGGCGAGGCTTCGCACTGATCGTGACTGTGAAACGTTGTAGTAGATTTATAATAACAGGAAAAATCGGTTTTATACTTTAAAAGTAGCGGAAAGGTAAAAAGTGACCAATTGGTGGGCGGCTTTGAATTTTATTTTAATCGATTTGGCAGAAAATCAAAGTTGTTGTTTGTATAATTATCGTGGCATGAAATAGTTAATCGCCCGCTGGCGACCAGTTGTGAAATTCTGGTTGCCAGTGCAAAATTTTTAGTCGCATTGGCGACCAGGAAAGCGCAATTTCGGACCCTGAATAGAAGATGAAAAATTAGCGGTAGTGGTTCACGTTCTCCAAAAACTTGAAAATTGGTCATTTCACGTTGCGGACTTGCAAAGGGCGGCTACGCAATGTACAAAGGTGTATAACGCACGATAAGGTCCATTGTTCTGCTCGTTAAACCTTTTGTTTGGTGACGATCTTGTTGCCGTCACCGTTGTGGATTACATAAGGTCCCCAATGTTTATAGATCTGGAACGTGTGCAAATGGCTACAGCTACATAGTTCTATGCATGCATTGCGTGCCTATAATTTTAGCCACACTTGTACCGGTATTGATTGGTTCTGTCGAGTGTAGGATCAAATTATCTCGAAGACCCCCCATTTGAGTATGTTTTAAAGTTTCTTCTGTTATACAGGTTCGCACTTAAAACAATGTAAAGGAACTTTGACATTATTTCCATCTGACTTGCATTCCTCATTGTGTTAGATTGAAAAAGTGAGTGTTAGCCATGACGGTCTGCAGCCCACTGCTGGATGGTACCTGGAGGAGGTCACTGTTGATGTGCCGTCACGTGGTGACCACACCGTGTTCCCCTCGCACTGTTGGTTAGCCTCAAGTCAGGGTGACGGAAAAGTCGTCAGAGATTTTGTATCGGGGCCTTGTAAGTTGTATTCATATGAGCTGATTAATGGCTGAATTTAGAATTGGTTCTGTTTTAGAAAATATTTTCTTTCATTTCTGTTGAGTTATAGAAACATTCGGGAAAAGCCGTGCAAAAAGTCGTGGAAACACCTCGGCTGGGCCTTGGGTTCCCACAGCATTTCTTGTTCTCCCAAACGTACACTCGTGTTTTTATAACGCGATAGAAACATAATTTTGTTTCATTTCTGAACTATCTTAGGTCTTTATCACCTGGCCATTAAGACAGGTGACGAGAAGAATGCTGGTTCAGATGCCAATGTCTGGGTACAGGTGTACGGTGATAAGGGTGACACGGGTCATGTGCAGCTCAAGAAATCAGGCATGATGGAGAACTTGTTTGAACGAGGCCAGACCGATTACTTTACTTTGGAGGCTGGTGATGTTGGCAAGGTAACCATCAATCTTACTGATTAGCAGCAGGGAAATAGGGAAGGCTATAAGAAGGTTTGCGGTCTTCTTCATTAAAGACAAAGTAAAAAGACAACCAACTAAACAAACAAACAAAAAACATTTCCATGATTAAGAATTCTTCATTTCAGGTCATAACTATTGTTATGGCAAATCCTCGCTTGATTCTTTTTTAAAATCGCCTATTGAGTATTGACACGGGATACTCAATAGTGTTCTACAGTCTTACAGCTTTGAAGAGATTAACTGTTGCTGCTCTGTTAGTATGATTTGTGGCTCGAGTTTCAGACGTGAGTGAAAAACAAAGCAGACATGTTAAGAGACACTTTTGTCTTCCAACGCTGCTACACGGCTTTAAAATGGCAGATGCTACAAACCAGATCTTTTGATAAGCGAGTGATGTCTGTATCAAACCGAATGGGCTAAGCTTAAGTTCCACTCTGAAACTCGGCACGATTTCCGCCGCTCTCTCCAAACCTGTCTTCGTTTCTCCTCGAGAAGCCATCGCGGGAGGAGCGCGGTCTCCTTTCCCGAACAGCGGTTGGTAATGTAGCCTACTCTGAAACGTACTTTGTCTTGTAGATAGAGAAGCTTCGTGTCGGCCATGATGGGCATGGTCCCGCGTCAGACTGGTATGTTGAGGAGGTGATATTGAACAGTGCTGTCAGGGGGGAGCATCTCATCTTCCCGTGCCACGCCTGGGTGGCAGAGGAACAGGGTGTGGGATATGCAGACAAGGAGCTGTATCCCAAACAACCTGGTGAGTTCAAGTCCTGATTAAAGGAGCTCAGTCACGTTATTTTGAGTTATTTTGGCCATGTACAAAATTACCTTTAAATGGTAAGAAACCTGAAAATAAAAGTTTAATAAGATAGAAAAACAAAAGAGATAAAAATAAATCATCAAGAAGCAAGGAATGTTAGGGATGGAGAAGATTAACACGGATCTTAACAATGCAAATATTTTCTTCTCTGCAGTTTCTGATTACAGTGTGAGGATTAAGACAGGGAACATCAAGAACGCGGGAACAGATTCTAACATCTACTTGCAAGTGTTCGGTGACAAAGGTGACACTGGAGTCATTGAATTAAAACAAATTTGCGACACCAAAGACAAGTTTCAACGAGGAATGAACACCAAGATCAACTTACAAACTGTTGATGTTGGAAATGTAAGTACATGTGTTCTTGTTACCTCGCTTTCTTGATGTTGTTGTTGCTGTTGGTGGTGGTTGTTATGATGTGCCTTTCTGAAGCAGACACCCTTTGTTAGAGCTTTGTTTAGAATTTGAGTCTTTTTCAGATTTTAGTTCTTTCTAAGACAACTTCGAAATAATAGTTCTCTAAGGTAGAAGTAGCAACAAGGAACAGAGGTGGTTTTAGCTGACGGAGATTAACACTTGCATGAACACTGAACGACAAGCTTGGAAAATAAGAAAATTCAATTTTCTTAAGCTGCGTCATCCTTGTCTGAGGTCCTTGATCCTACTACAAATGGCCTACCAAAAGCTGGCCATTTAATTTGGATGCTGTTTAAAAGGAGTTTTAAAAAAGAAAAAAAAAGCACCTTGTCATATTTGAAAAGATTTTGTAGTTTCAACTACAATCTTTATTTGTGCTCTTTCTTGGGTACAGTTTCTTATTGACTGGCTGGTTATGAGAAGTAAATTAGAGTACTGGGTGCCAAGAATAACCCATGGGAGCTAGCGGAGCCAGGCAGCCAAGACGAGTTTCCTTTAAATTTTCTTGCGTTAAATTCGTTCGTCTTGTCTCCCTCGTGCAGCTTGAGAAGGTGCGTATCGGCCATGATGGGCGTGGCCTAGGGACAGGGTGGTACTTGGAAGAGGTGGTGATCATTATTCATGACGAGTGCTGGATCTTTCCTTGTAATCGCTGGCTGGCTGATTACGAAGACGATGGCAAAACCGAGAGAGATCTGTATGCAGGTCAGTTCTGAACGAAAACGAAGTGACTTTTTGTTGTTGCCGTTTTCCCGACACCATTTCAACATCTCACTCGAGTGACTGGCTTATTTCTTTAGTCTCCTGCTGGAGCAAAGGACGCCCACAATTGCCGGCGGAGTCCATTCGAGTAACGTCTTAGGTGCGACCAGAAAAATGCCACACTGATTCACGTCGCTATGCAGGGATACATGTAGCGTCCCAGGATTGGTTGTCATTCGCGCATGAAAATACATAACCTAGCAACAGCCTATCGCAAGCACCCCACGGATCTCTGTAGTGCTGTGGGTTCAGTCTCGTCTGGTTATGAAGTTCAACAAAGCTCTTTGCGCTATGTTTTTGTTCGCTTTATTGGCTTTGACTGTGCTCAAAGACAGAAGTTGGTTACTTCTTTCTGAGGAACTAACAAAAGAAACGTTTCAGTTTCTTAATTCCTTCATGGTGTATTGAAAAAAAGCGACAATCAACAGGAATCTTGGAATCCTGTTTCCTCCTCTGTTGTGTGCTTCTGTTCATTACAAGTGCCCTCTATTAGCTATTGTTTATTGAAACTCAAGTCTCTCTTAACATGCAGATTCCTTCCAACGCAAAATTGACATAACCCCTTAGAGACAAAGGCAATTGCGTTATTCGCGCTAGTAACGTAAGGTTTAAATTTCTTTTAGAGAGAAAGACGTACGCACACGAACCTGATTTACAGGACTTGATCGAATACTTACAATCTGATGACGTCACACTCATCGTGAACTCTGCCAATTACCTGCAGCATCTCTCCTACAGCGATGAACAAGTCAAGGTCAAAGTGCGGTAAGCTGCTATGAGATGCTATTTACAAGGCTAAAAGTTAACAATTAAACGAAAAACCGAACGTTTTTGATTGGTTAAGTCATGATCGGGGTAAAAGACTATCCGCTTCTTCTTTGCTTTATATGTTTAGGTGATTTCCGATGGAAACAGTTTCGCTACGTAAGAATGAATTTGTTTGTTCAAATTCGGTCTCCATTGTTGGTTCATTACTCCTTCAATGATTCTGCGCTTGTGAAAAGACTGGGCCGGGCAGAGTATGCGCCAAATGAAAGAATCGCGTAGGTGACGGTCAGGTTCATAAATTTGTGCAGGTTTTAAGGGTGACACATACTAGTCTGCGAGGGCAGTTGACATATTTCCCTTCCGATTCACGCTAACGACAAACCTGTCCTCGTAGTGCACACTAATCGGTACAGTTGAACTTTCGTTTAAGACCCCTACCTTACAATGGCCAGGATTTCCATCCGACACTTTACTCTTATTGAAACGTAGCTGATGTGTTCAAGGCTATGCTGTAGTAATGAAACGGAACTTTACTTGCTCATATGTAAATTGTGGCAATTTCGTTCAACAGTGAGCTCGGTGGAATTCCAATCTTAGTTCGCTTGCTTGATCACGAACTAGAGGAGGTTCATCGGGCTGCCGCGGCCAGTCTGAGGAATTTATCGTACAGTAAATCAAGGGACGAGAACAAGGTAAGTAGGTTGTTTGTTGGGCTCTGTTCACACTAGGCCGGAGAGATTTGAAAACGCAGCTTTATTTTTACGGTTAGGTCTACCGTCCACACTAATCCGTCACGAAAACGGACGGAGCTTTTCGAAAACGTTCCTCGCACTGGAGGAATTTAAAAACGTCGGCTGTGCGTTTTAATGTGGTCGGAAAACATTTTGAAAGTGTAGCTTTCGAAAACCTTGACGTCACACTATGATTATGCGATTTTCCTGTCCAAGTTTTTTCTCAAACACAAATCCAAAGTGACCGCCGATTGTTGCGTTTTCAAATTTCTCCGGCGTAGTGTGGACGGATCCTTAGAAAGAAATGGTATATATTAGGCTTGGGGAAGACATACAAGCTACTCGGAGAGAAGGATTCGCAGTTTATCTCACGGTTATCAAACCTACCCTGTAGACACTGGTCGGATGCTGTACCATTGAGCTACATGGCACTTGTGGTGTTCAAACTTTCAAATCAAGTCGTTTTGGAGTTTGGCTAACATCACTCCCTTGAAAGTTTTGCAAAGGTCTTTTTGCAGCATCAGGCTCCGTTCAGCAACTGCTCTTTGTTTTGCGAAGTCGTGAATTAAGTTTTATTCCTTTTTCAGGGGAGAACTTTCTATTTTTGAACACCCGGCAACTGCGAGGTGAATATTAGTATAAACGGGTCTTTCTGTGAGTACTGAATGCAAGTGAATCGCATTGTCTTTGTTGTTCACAGTTTTCTCTGCCTCTTTCAGTTGGCTATTGCGGAGTGTTATGGCATTGAAGCTTTGATACGACTGCTAAAAAGAACGAGAAGGGACGAGGTAAGGAAACAGAAGAAACACGTGAATGATGCGATTTAAGCGATTCCATTAACAAGAACTGTGAGCTAATTTCTTCTCCAGCGTCTCAGCATAAGAACCTTTGCTCTGAAGAAATAAAGCGGTGGCGTCGAAAGAAATATACGAGACAATAAATAAGAGAGTATACTTCCATTTCCTGCTGTCGCATGACAATCTTTCAAAATCTCTTTTTAGATAATGTTATTCAGATGTAGACAGTTCTCACGTGCTGTTTAGTACATAAGATTCCTCACGTGATTGGTCGTAATGCGTTTATGAGAAGTGTTGATGTAGAACTCGGTTAGTCTCTTAAAACTGTGTAAATAAACAACAGCGTTTCGTGTGACAGTTTTTTGTTTGTTTCAGGTGAAGGAAGTAGTGTTAGGTGTATTATGGAACCTGTCTTCTTGTGAAGTAAGTTCTGCTGGAGCCTTTAGTCTACGTTTGACACCTGTTTTGTTTCGACTTTATCTTCCATGTAAACTATGTTTACTTAAATTTATGGAGACTTTCTCGTTAAAAGGTTTGATGTGTAAAACATAGACATGTTTTATGACGACACTTTTTTTTTTTTTGCTAAAGCATGCTATAAGCAATGTCCGTCCTTTAGGTCGCATGATTGTGTGGCAAAAGATTTTTGTTGGTCTGTTATCAAATTTTCCGCCTGCTCTAGACAGGAGAAATATGAATCTACGTTTCAAAGCTCCCTACAGTCTAAGCACTCTGTAAGGACACTTATACAATACGGATAGTTCACTAGGACATGGTAAAAGAAAAAAGAAAAAACTCCCATACAATTTTTTTTCAAATGAAACGGACATCTTTGTAGTGTAACTTGCTTGCCTTATTAAACTGTGTGTTGTGTTTTTGGGTAGGACACTTAACTCTCACAGTGCCTCTCCACACCCAGACGAATAAATGGCCAGTACCGGCAGATTTAATGCTGGGGGGTAACTCTGCGATGGACTAGCAACCCATCCAGGGGGGAGTAGAAATACTTCTAGTAGCTTCTTGCTACAAAAACTGTAGATAAACGCTTGATGGGCCACTTGGCTCGTATGCAGAATTTATCTTTACCTTATCACAATTTGCTTTGTAATTGTTCACAGGATCTTAAACTGCGCATCCTCGAAATCTGTCTGATAGTGATGGTGACTATTATAATCATCCCGTACTCGGGCTGGAGCAGGGCAGCTGCTAACGGCACTGCTCCTCTGCCTGCAATAAAATGGACCACGGTGTTCCGTAATGCCAGCGGTGTGCTCAGAAACGTGTCCTCGGCTGGGCCCGAGGCGCGGCGAGTAATGAGGGACTGCGATGGGCTTGTGGACTCGTTTGTGTGGATCATTAAGGCGCCTCTTGGCAAGAATGATATCGATAATAAGGTACGCTGTGAAAGGTAGTGATCGACTTGTTAATTCTCAGTACATTGTGAAGCGGAAAGGTGATATAAGAATTGAGAAAATCATAAACCAGGGGATATTGTCGTGATGTGCTATTAAATTCTCGGAACTATCGCTGAAAATTATGCATGAGATCAGTAAGGAGAAACGAATTTCTGATTTCCATGGAGTATGATAGTAGCTGGGGGCTTTGTCACTCGTCTTCTATTTAACAATTGGATTATGAGCTCGAGATTTCTATCGCGCGATAGCTGACGAGGACACAACCCGAGTCAACCAACTGTCTCGCATAGAAATCTAGAGCGGATAATCTAATTGTTTTAGTATAAATCTATTAGTCGTTCAAAACTTTATTTAAATCCTCCTCACAGACACTTCCAAAACGCCAAGAAGCGGCCGCCAGTAACGCACACTGCTACGCTAATCACTGTTTTACAACAGAATAAATAGTGAATAGCGTAGCCAGTCAGCGAACGCCATTTTTTCGTGGTAGAACGCTAGTAGATTTATACTTATAACTTTATTAAAGCCTGGAGCTGATAGTGTAGTTGTTAAATAGCAGGTCAATATGCCGTGCAAAGCCTTCACAAACCCCAAATCTTCATGTTACAACTGTTGTAATTTTATGAAGGTTAAAGGCGTATTGATCATGCCAACACACCAAGGTCTCCAATGGAATTTCTTTATTTGTTTCCCAGTGTGTAGAAAATTCCGTCTGTATTCTTCGCAACTTGTCGTACCGACTCGAAAACGAAGTCGACCGAGGAAGATACAGAGACGCTCCTTTACCAGTCCCTCCCGGCAAAGAGCCCGAGAAACACGACCCGGGCTGCATGGCGGGATGCGGGACGGGAGCGAAGAAGAATAAGAAAAAGAAAGGAATGAGTAGAGAAACGGAGGAACTGCCATTGAAGAAAGAACCCGTGGAAGGAGTGGAGTTGCTATGGCAACCAGAGATAGCCAAGTCCTATCTGTCAATCATGGCGGAATCGGCCAATCCCGAGACGTTAGAAGGATCAGCGGGTGCCATTCACAATCTAACAGCGTGCGGCTGGAGGGTATGAAGACTGTGTCTGACATTGTACATATCTAGAAAACAAAACTTTGTAAGAAAACGCACAGTACTAGCTGTACTTCTATAACTCGACCAAGACAGAACTAACACGAGCTGCTGACGTCATGATGGCGCGAGCAAAGAGAATTTACAATTTGATCATCGAAAGTAGCAAATGATTTTCCTTTCTTTTTGTCGAAGTAGAAAGGAAGAAGCTTTTCTCCGTGTTTCTATCGAGTTATAGAAACACTCGTGAAAGCTTGGGAGAACTTAAAACAGCCCTGGAAACACTCGCCTGCATCTTGGGCTCGCACAGATTTTCTCGATCTCCAAAGGTTACACTGGTGTTTCCATAACTCGACGACATGTTTTCTATTTCTTATGCAGAAAAAACTGGTTTTTGTTGGCGTGTAATGTACAAACAGACGCCAGAATAAGCAACACACCAAGACGCATTAAGATGTTGATAATGAGCTGGTTGTGTTGTTCTCTGTTGTAGTGGTCACAGATTATGCGTTCTGCAGTGCGGAAAGAGAAAGGTCTTCCCATATTGGTGGAACTCTTGCGAATGAATCATGACCCTGTAGTACGAGCTGTGTCTACAGCGCTGAGAAATCTTGCAATTGACCCGAGAAACAAGGATCTTATAGGTATGTTGATGAAATTTTGATGTCGTAAATTATAGCCGCTAGTTTACACAAAACGCGATGAAAAAGAATCATCTTCCAGAACTTTGAGTTTGTTCCCCTCTTCGTATGACGAAGATTAAGGAGCACGTGACTTTATGCTACATATAGCCAAGTAGAGTTCCAGATAATTTTTCTTTTAGTTTACCATCAAATCTGCGAAAACATGCGAAAGATGTGTTGCAGCGACAGCAAGGTGCAAACATCATTATTTTCTTTGGTTTGTAAATACAGCGCGTGGTGACATTCGTTTAAATCAGTAGCGTTCACGTACAGCAAAAGAAAACAGAAGTCGTATAAAATCGCGTTTTTTCTCAGGAGTTCTTTAGGTGATACAACACCGGACTGCGACTATACCCAGGATCTAACCTGTGATCTTTTTTTGCCACCGCATTATTCATAACTCGCCAAACATTGTAAACATTGGTTAACACATATGGAATAACTACAGAACCCTGCGGTCTTTTACCAAGTATAGTGCGGTAGTGGCACTTGTTTTGTTCACGCCCAGGTAAATACGCTGTGAAGGATCTGGTTCACCGTCTTCCGGATCCTAACTCGCCCAGTGACAGAGCAGAAGAGAATACAATAGGTGCAATCCTGTGCGCAATTCATCAAGTTATTAACAAGAGTGTAGAGAATGGAAGGTGAGAAGTTTTTAGGTTAAACTTGTCCCATACCCCGCCAAGGGACTTCGTTGTAGTATTACCAGGTACTTTGACTTCCGAACACCTCAAACAAGTTCGCTTCCCCCTGGTGGGAGATAGGGCCGAAAGAAAGAATTAGTTACAAAAGAAGTGAACACAGATGCAGAGAGGAGCAGACGGTCAGGATAACACCCGCGCAGAATGCCGCAGAAAGCCGGGGCGTGTTGTCGTTGCGTGAGGAAGGAAGGGCGCGAAGAGGAGAATAAATAAGAGCAATTAAGCTGTGTGGAGTCAATATTTGCGTAATGAACACTCCCCTAAACTACGGATAAGCGGGGAAAAACTAAATTCTAGCGAGGAAGAGCGGGCTTGGCGGGTGTTTTAGTGTTAGCGAGTATACAAAGAAACATTCTGTTTACTTTGACTTTAGATCTGCTTAGCTCTCAAAGCTGTAACAACAGCAATAGCATCACGAACAACAATAACAACAATAACAACAACAACAACAGTAGCTACAGAAAATGGGCCACCCTGTAGAAATAAAGATTTAACTTAACTTTAGCACTGCATTTTCAGTTCCACAGATATATTTTCCGCTACTGTGGTCGTAGCGATTAAAACAATCTTGTTTTTCACTAGAAGCTTTATATTAGAGATATTCTTTCTTAAGTTGTTTGTTTCTTCTTTTTCTATGCAGACATGTTCGTAACGCAGGTGGAATTAAAAAGATTGTGGTTATTGCACAGTCACGTGATAGATACTCTCCTAAGATTGTCAAGACAGCTAACCAGGTATGACTGATAAGATGTTGAAAACACTCAGGGTGACAAAATTGGTCGAGGCTAACTCGTGTGATGTTCGCTTGTATAGTAGTTAGTGATTTCGATTGAACTTAGCAAGGCTCACTGTGCTGTGATCTTGGGCATTCAACTTTACTCTCATAGTGCGTCACTGCCGCTCTCCACGTAAGGGTATTTAACAAAATTTTAAGCGACAGCCTTGCGATAGAGAGGCGTCCTATCCACGGGCAGCAGCTAGACGGATTGCCGTGTAATATAATGGAACCCTGAACCAGGTCCTCGGGCCTTTTAGCGTCTCCGATCCAGTGGACTAAAACACTCCACCTCTGTCGCGTAAACATGGGTTCGAACTTGACTCAGTTAAGTGCTGTGAACGCTTTACTCTGAGTATGGGACGTACCTACACAGAGGATATCTAAATGGACAATTTTATTGTTGACAAAGCACTAATGGACATTTGTACTTGTACACTACAGGTTTTGATAACACTTTGGAATCTGACACCTCTCCGAAATTCAGTCAAGAAAGAGGGCTGGGAATACACCAAAGAAATAGCCGACGAATACGGCCATGCGCCACCAACGCCACGCCCTTATGAGGATATAACAATCCCTCGAGGGGTACAGCAAGCTCCGGCGTCTTCTGTCGGAAGGAAGGAACCTCGACCGGTACATTCCGACGAGACGTCGCTTCCCGAATTTCGATACGAAACCCAAGCGAGAGGGCCCCCACCGAAGTTTTCTAATGATGGTTACGAAGCCGACGACGATGCACGCCGACGAAGAGCGGCGAATAGTGGTCGAGAAGAGATGGAAATGGAGGACATAGGTGGTTATCGGGAAATCGATCGTCCTCCGGAGAGAACCGGCGGCGTTGAGGTTTTACCGCCCGCTTACCCAGACGGTCAGCGGCCTCAAGAAGAACCAACATACGCTCAAGTGGACAAGAGTAAAAAGAAAATGTATAAATTACAAGGAACTGAAGGCCCAACAACAGACTCATGGGTGTAAAGTAATTTAAAACAAACGTCTGTTGGATATTCCGTGAGTCAAGCACAGACAGCCATCCACAAGTGACCCTTTATTTGGTGACGGTGTGCAAGGGCGTGCGCCATCTTTGTGTTAAAAAAATGGCGGATTCTATATGCGGCTGGACGGAGCCGTGTTGCGACGGCAAGCAAGATTCGATGCCGATTAAGTAAACAGCTTTTTTTTTTACAGACGTTTAGGATTGATAGGATTTTAATAAATTTTCGTTCAGTGATCGAACGAAAGCTGTGGAGAGTTCTGACACAAGGCGAGAAGAGGAGAAACTTTGATTCTCAAATTCATTAATGTGAACGTTTTAATTCTAAAGTAGCTATTGACCGTATTGTTGTTAAAAAGTAATTCTCGCGTAATAGAGATCAGATGATCAGTAGTTGAAATTTAGCTGAAGGTATGCAATTGATATTTTTCCTTTCATAAGAAAAGAATTAAAAAACACGAAATAGATTGCCTGTTTTAATATATTGGACAAGGAGCCTTTGTTGTGTATATCAGTCGTTCCATCTTCATGCTCTCTGTTATGTCTGCACCATTTCGTCACAATCTAGGGAGGGCCCTGTCCACGTTAATCCGTTTTCGTTGAAAAAGGAGTCGTTGCATTTAAACGCAACGAAGTTTTTCGTTTAATATTCTATCGTTGCTGTCCACGCTAAAACTCTCAAATCGATCTGAAAACGCGCAATGTTCGGATTGATTAGCGTCAGCAAAATACGAGACCTCCATTGATAAGGTGATAAAATAAATAAAGAGCAACATTTATAGGAGAAGCCACATTTCATGTGGGAATTTAAGCATGTTGGTTTTTTCAGGAGGGAGAAAAACTGGAGTACCCGGGAAAAAACCCTCGGACAAGGAAGGAACCAAAAACAAACTCAACCGAAACATGGCACTGGGCCGGACTGGAACTCAGGCCACATTGTTGGGAGGCGAGGGCTTTCGCCTTTGCACCGTCCCTGTGCACGTTAAAAGAAGGCTTTCCACCACAAACATCAACCTGAAAATGTTCAGCTCATCGTTGTAAGGGAAAACGCGAATTATGGGATAACTGCACACCGCTCTCCTTTCAGTCGTGATTAGCATAGCAATTAGCATAGCAATTAGCACGGCACGGCACGGCACGGCACGGCACGGCACGGCACGGCACGGCACGGCACGGCACGGCACGGCACGGTACGGTACGGCACACCTGACCTCCCGCACAGCAGACTAGTGCTCTACCAACTAAGCTAACCAGGCGGCGGTGATCGGGCTCATTCATGGATTTGCTAAAGCGCCCATGTCCAGCCACAGTGGAACCCGATAACTCGAATCTACCATGGAAACGAAAATTAGTTCGAGAAATCGGGACTTCGCAATATTTTTCGGCAAAGTTGCTGTGAGATCGAAATATTGAGGGTTTGAGAAATCGGGATTCTGCTGTACTGAAAGTTCACAATAAGTTCATGTAATTCCCGGCATAGTCAATGGAACGTTCGGAAATCGAAGTCATTCGAACCCAATCTATCTGTGGATTGAGTTCGATTGAGTTCGGCAATCGAACCAAATCGAACACCGAACTTTGTGTGAGTTCGATTTCCGAACCAATCGAACTCCATAGCTGGCAAATCAAACCGAACCGAACTCAGTCCATTAGATTGTGTTCGATTGGGTCAGTTGTTGGGTTCGGTAGCCGAACTCAATCGAAGACAATCCAATGGACTGCGTTAGATTGTGTTCGGTGAGTAAATTCGCTTGACCAAAGATTATGTTAACCAAAAATGTATGAATTCCTTCACCGAGCCAAATTTTGCTCGTTAGAGACTAAGAATGGTCAATTGGACCGATTTATGGCGAAAAAGAAAGTTTTGGAGAACATTTGTGCTTTTCTTTAACCAAAAATGTATGAATTCCTTCGTCGAGCCAAATTTTGCTCGTTCGAGACTAAGAATGGTCAATTGGACCGATTTATGGCGAAAAAGATAGTTTTGGAGAAAATTTGTACTTTTCTTTAAGTGGTCTCGAAAACACGAGTTGTACTGAAGTAACTCGAGCCTTTAAAAACGTTTTATTGATTTTCAACACCAGTTTTGTAAAAAAATCAAGAGTTCATAAATCAAAAGTTCGATTTAGTTCGATTGTCCAATTATTTTTGTGTGAGTTCGATTTGGTTCGATTGCCGAACTCAATCGAACTCAATCCATGGATTGAGTTCGATTGAAATACAGTTCCACTGGGTTCGATTGACTGTGCCGGATATAATTACGCGATAAAAGAGAGAGACAAAAAATAAATAAATAAATAAATAAATAAAACTGCACCAATTGCGCCAAAAGCTACTTTGTACCAATTTCACTAAAATGTCTCTTTCCACTGTCTGCTAAATAAGGCGCGTAAACATGTCAAACTTAATTGATAATTTTATAACAATTTTCCACAAATTTATATAAAACTTGCATTGCAGCTTTTGCATACGTTAAGTTTTTTGTTGATTAATTACATGTNAACTAAAGACATTTTTATTTAGAAAAGCGTTTGAATAGCTCTTGATTTTTTATATACATTTTTACTAGATCCCTTGTTTTTAATATTTTAATTTTTAGCTCGCTACCTTAGCCTAATGTATATAATTATTGTAAATAATTAGTTTTAAATTTATCACACTATTCATAGCATATCGTTTAATTTATATGACTCATATGGTTTGTTAGGCGCATTTGATCATATTCACATGTTAATTTGCGCCTTAGAAATATTAAATATTATTATTATTATTATTATTATGTAGCTATAAGCGTTTTAAATAAATTTCTTCGACTTCGTTTCTTAGCACCTTCGTGAAAAACAAAACCTTAATTTCCACGTCACAAATTGGTCTCATCTAACTTGAAGAGAAAGTATTGTTTTTAGGGCAGTTTCCAAAACTAAAACGAAACCAATTAATTACCAATTAAACTGCTCAGCCAATATCAAACCGTAATAAAACCAAAATCAAAGAACTTTCGATACTTAATTCACCGCAGGAAAAAAAGATGGCGGCTGTACGTTTTACCACAATACCTTGCGAACCTAACACAGCCTTTATGGCACAAAGAAGGCCAAATTTTTTTACAATATTTGCTCCTGTACTAAGGACGTTGCGTCTACTAGGTTTGAAGATTTTATAACTTTTCCGTACGTTTTTACGAACGTTGTTAAGGTTTTCTTGCGCTAGGAACTATGGGTAAATGTACCAGCCGCCATTACTTTTCCTACGGAAGATTCAAAACCGCTCTATACTGAATTAGACCGTAATCTTTCAAGCGTTCTCTGCAGATATTTGAGCTTCTTTGTCAACATTTTGTGATGATCACTACAACCAAAGAAACAAGTTCGAGCTCAGGACTAAATTTCATCTCTAAATTAAAAATCGGCTGAGTCAGCGATTTACTACATAACACCGCTAAGACAGTTTATGAAGAAACTCGTGAACTACCTCGAATCTCCTCTCCTTACTGCACAAGTTTCACGAGATAAGCGGCTCTGCAGAATCCCTTTGCAGGATCAATTTTGATTGACACATGACCGGAATTAAGACCCTGTTCGCACCACTACGAAAACACATCAAATGTTTTCCATTCTCAGTACGCCGAAAAAATTTGAAAGTGCAGCTTTATTTCTCGGTTAAACCAACCGTTCACACTAATCCGTCACGAAAACGTAACGGAGTTTTTCGAAAACACTCTTCAAATAAGTGTGGACAGAAAGCATTTCGAAAACGAAGCTTTTGGAAAACGATGACGTCACGATCATAATCACGTGACTTCCCTGCCCGAGCTGTCCTCAAACACAAATCCAAAATGACCGGTGATTGTTGCCTTTTCAAATTCCTCCGGTGTAGTGTGGATGGAAAAGATTTGAAGCGTTTTAAGTCTCGTTCCTCGAGTCTTCGGTCCTAACTGCGCATGCTTGACGAAACGAGCGACTTTCGAGAGTTCCGCTGTTACAGGCTCGATTTTGATTAATTCTAAAAACAATGAAAATGAACGGAAGTAGAACACCAGCGATTCGATTGAGTCACGTGAGCATGCGCTATTCAACCGGAAGTCTGCGGATATTTTCTGACTTCCAATCAAAATTAAACTTCCCGACCGCTAGTCAAAGGAAGCGAAGACTCGCGTGGCGAGTTATGAACTAAAGTTGATTGAGCGCTTCGTCAAACCTTTTTCCAAAAAAGGCACTTGAATGTTCCCCTGATAGATGCAAGTCCCCGTTTTCAAGTAAATGGAACCTTACAGGTCTGATTAGCGGGCACGTTATCAAAGCGATGGCGTATAACTACTAAAAGATTTCTGCTAGTCCATATAGCTACTGGGAATATGTTGACAATGGCCACTAAAATGTGTCTTTTCCACTGTCTTCGCCAAACAGCCATCACAGCCATATTCTGATACCGAGTCTCGATCGCTAGAGACACGCTGGTGAAAAACCACTCGATCACCAGTGGAACTGAAGTGTACTTGGCAAAAGACTGGAACAA